TCCTTTCAATTTCTCATTGGTTTTCATGCCTTAACTTTTCAAACCTCCTTTCAATTTCTCATTGTTTTTCATCCCTTGACTTTCCAAACCTCCTTTCAATTTCTCATTGGTTTTCATCCCTTGACTTTTCAAACCTCCTTTCAATTCCTCACTGGTTTCCATCCTTCATTTCTCAAACGTTATCGGTGTTGCCAATCAACTTTCAGCCCTTCTACTCCTCAACCCTTTGTTCTTTGCCTCTTCCAATCGCTCAACTCTCACCAACTTCCATCGTTTCTGTTCCTTTCCCACCTCCTTCCCCTCTGCCCTGTGAGGCCAAGGGAAGACTGAGGAGGAGACCAAACCAAACCAAACCAAACCAAACCCAACGGGAACAGAACCTCCCTGAGCATCACCGAACAGAAAGGCAAAAAAACCTCCATGGACAAGATGTGATGGCACAGAAATGAAGCAAGAGTTAAATCGCTCGCTCGATCGGAGGCACAGGAGGTCACAACCCCAGGCCGAGATGAATTTGCTCACCTGGTGGGAGAGGGCATTAGCCTGCCTAGCTGTCATCTGCTGCTCATAATAGGAGTCCCCAAAAACACTGCCCAGCATGGAAGAATGCTGAAAACAAAACAAGAGGCTTTATGGTGCGATTCCCACGACCCTCCGAGCCACCTCCTGCTCTCCTGGGGGGAACTCCCCTCCGCGCGCTCCTGGGACGCACAGACTTCCTCCAGAGCACAGACAACATGGAAAACTTGGGAGTCACGGACACACACAGCTGGGCAAAGACGAGAAGTAACAGAGGTCACTCGGCGAGTTGGGATCTGGGGGGGAATTTGGGGCTGGGAGAGGAGAGATTCAGAGGGAGGGAACTGCAGGATGGTGCCAAGGGGAGTTTGGGCAGGTGGGGCTGGAGCTGGAAGGGGATTCCCTAAAGACAGGAGGGACTGGCACTGGAAGGAGATTCCCTGAAGGAAGGTGAGGACCAGCTCTGGCTCTGGCAGGTGATTCCCTTGAAGGAAGGTGGGACTGGCTCTGGCTCTGGCAGGTGATTCCCTTGAAGGAAGGTGGGACTGGCTCTGGCTCTGGCAGGTGATTCCCTTGAAGGAAGGTGGGACTGGCTCTGGCTCTGGCAGGTGATTCCCTTGAAGGAAGGTGGGACTGGCTCTGGCTCTGGCAGGTGATTCCCTTGAAGGAAGGTGGGACTGGCTCTGGCTCTGGCAGGTGATTCCCTTGAAGGAAGGTGGGACTGGCTCTGGCTCTGGCAGGTGATTCCCTTGAAGGAAGGTGGGACTGGCTCTGGCTCTGGCAGGTGATTCCCTTGAAGGAAGGTGGGACTGGCTCTGGCTCTGGCAGGTGATTCCCTTGAAGGAAGGTGGGACTGGCTCTGGCTCTGGCAGGTGATTCCCTTGAAGGAAGGTGGGACTGGCTCTGGCTCTGGCAGGTGATTCCCTTGAAGGAAGGTGGGACTGGCTCTGGCTCTGGCAGGTGATTCCCTTGAAGGAAGGTGGGACTGGCTCTGGCTCTGGCAGGTGATTCCCTTGAAGGAAGGTGGGACTGGCTCTGGCTCTGGCAGGTGATTCCCTTGAAGGAAGGTGGGACTGGCTCTGGCTCTGGCAGGTGATTCCCTTGAAGGAAGGTGGGACTGGCTCTGGCTCTGGCAGGTGATTCCCTTGAAGGAAGGTGGGACTGGCTCTGGCTCTGGCAGGTGATTCCCTTGAAGGAAGGTGGGACTGGCTCTGGCTCTGGCAGGTGATTCCCTTGAAGGAAGGTGGGACTGGCTCTGGCTCTGGCAGGTGATTCCCTGAAGAAAGGTGGGATTGGCTCTGGCTCTGGCAGGTGATTCCCTGAAGGAAGGTGGGATTGGCTCTGGCTCTGGAAGGTGATTCCATGAAGGAAGGTGGGATTGGCTCTGGAAGTGATTCCCTGAAGGAAGGTGGGGCTGGCACTGAAAAGTGGTTCCCTGAAGGAAAGTGGGATTGGCTCTAGAAGGTGATTCCCTGAAGGAAGGTGGGACTGGCACTGGAAGGTGATTCCCTGAAGGAAAGTGGGACTGGCACTGGTTCTAGCTCTGGAAGGTGATTCCCTGAAGGAAGGTGGGATTGGCTCTGGCTCTGGAAGGCAATTCCCAGAAGGAAGGTCGGTCTGACTCTGGCTCTGCCTCTGGAAGGTGATTCCCTGAAGGAAGGTGGGATTGGCTCTGGCTCTGAAAGGCAATTCCCAGAAAGAAGGTGGGACTGGATCTGGCTCTAGCTCTGGAAGGTGAGTCCCAACAGGCAGGTGGGACTGGCACTGGAAGGTGATTCCCAGAAGGAAGGTGGGACTGGTTCTGGCTCTGGATCTGAAAGGTGATCTTCAACAAGCAGGTGAGGACTGGCTCTGGCTCTGGAATGTGATTCCCAGAAGGAAGGTGGGACTGGCTCTGGAAGGTGATTCCTTGAAGGACTGTCCATTTCCAAGGACAAAGAGGAGTTTGGGGATGCCACAGAAGCAAAACCAGCACTAGAAATCCAATTGCTACTCCAGAGCTCCAAAGAGGATTGAGGTATATTTTCTCTTTACAGGAGCTTCCCAGAAGTAGAGCAAACCCTAAAATCTTTGCATTCCAAGCACTGTTCCCATCCTAAAATCTTTGGGGAACATAAGAAATGATGATCAACAGGAGAACAGAATCTGTTTGTGCAAGTTTAGCTCAGTAACTCCTACCAAAACACACAGCCTGGATTTGTTCCTCATGTGAAGTGTCCTGGTTCCTCCAGCTGCAAGCACTGTAATTCCCAAAGGAAATCCCACTGCAAATGTCATGACTTCAACACTTGAGAATAATTTATCAACAGCTCTGGGAAAAACATCTTGCTAACACCCATCTCCTCCACAAACACTGGTGAGCTCTGTTTTGTCAACAGTGCATCTTCTGGGGTTAATGATGTGGTGACTGCAAGGAAAAAAAAAAGCCAAAAAAAAAAAGCACCAACCCAAACCACAACACCTCTGGCTTGAATTATCCATCTCAAAAATACATACCATGTTCTCCAGGCTAGAGCCAAAGCTACTCAAGAGAGCAGATCTCTACCTAGTTGGAACAGGATGCCAGGTGTGAGGGGAGAGAAGCAGAGCACACAGGGCATTGCTGATGGGAAGCCATGCAAACACTGAGCTGAGGCCACAGGCAGAGCTTTGCAATCCGTGTCCAGATGGGAAGGCCTTGGAGGAACAAACACATACACACACACAGAGAGGTGTGGACCATGGGAGCAGAGGTTTGGAGAGGTGGAAAGAAGGTGGTGAAGGAAGTGGGTGTGCAAATCAAACCCCAGGGTTAAAGCATGTCCCTTTTCACAGGTAGAGAACCAGCAAGGCTGGAGGAGACCTCGAAGGTCAGCAAGGCCAACCATTAACCTGAGACAGGCTCAGCAGCTCATTAGGCAAAAATCAGAGCTCTTAATAACCTTTTGTTAGAGCAACCTCTAGTTTTTAGTTCAGCAGTACTAACAGTTCAACTAATTCCTCATTCCATTCCATAATTATAGGATCAGCAAGGTTGGAGGAGATCTCTAAGGTCATCAAGTCCAACCATTAACCTGTCACTGCTGGAACCTCTAAACCAGGTCCTCCAGTGCCACATCCAGACATCTCTGAAACACCTCCAGGGATGGTGACTCCACCACCTCCCTGAGCAATATCCCAGTGCCTGAACAGCCTAACAGGGAAAACATTTCTCCTAACATCTCCTCTGACTCTGCCCTGGCTCAGCTCAAGGCCATTCCCTCTAGTCTCTCCCTACAGCCATGGCAGGAGAGACATCTCCCACCTCTCTCCAACCCTGTAGTTGTAGAGAGAATACTCTACATCTAATAGTGGAAGGATTGAACCCAAAATCCATGGATGAGGAGCATGTGGAAGTGCTGCAGTCACACCTCCTTCCTCCCACGCATCAGCCAGTGCCAGGTTGTGCCACAGAGGGAATATTCTGCTGTTGGAAGGGATCTGCCTTCACTCTGGAGAGATTTAAAGGATTCTGCAACCTGGGAGCTGCTCCCATCATCACAACCAACCCCAATTTTCCCTCCAAACTGGTTTTTCTTCCCCCATTGCTTCTCTCCACACTTCATATTTGTCACCACCAGCACTAGCAGCAGCTTTAGGGCCACTAATGGAGGCAGCAAAGCACTTCAGCTTTAATTCAGCAAAACCACAGAGTTCTGTGGGGATTTAAGAGGCCAAGACTACTCTGAGGAGTATTAATAAACCCTCTTCCTTCCACTCAGAGTTGTCCCACTTGAAAAGAGCAAAACCTAAGGAAGATTTTGCAGGATAAAAAAAGCCCAGCATGAAAAATGATAGCCCAGTGTGAGCCTCACTAGCTGCACTCTGATACTTTGGACTGGCCAATGGCAACAGGTCTGTGGACAACAGCAAGACAGAGTTACTGAGAAGCCAAGGGGGAAAGAAAATCAACCCAAAATTGGATGTGCTGCTGAGTGAGAACTGAGTTTGCAGCAAGGGTGGCAACAACTCTGCTCTCTGGACAGCCCAAGGGGTGAGTGTGCAGGTTTGGGAAGCACACACAGAGCACAGCAGAGCTCAGAGAAGCAGAGGAGAGAGAGGTTAAGCAGCAGTTAAGCCAGGGTTAAGTAAATCCAGTCAGTCCTGCCCCTCAGTCTAGTCTCAGCTTACCAGTGACCTGTCTCTGGCTAGTGGCAAGGAGAGCTGCAACTTCTGCTTTGAAGCCAGGAAGGGGCAGCACTTACTTAGAAAGGATCCTCCCTACAGCCCTCAGTGTTACAGGGTGGAACAAAAAATGGGTTTTCAGACTCTTGAGATGCTCTGCAGGAATTCCCTCACCTTGTTTCCCCAGGTGGGGTTCCTCAGGGCAGACAGCTGGAGATTTTTGAGCAGCATCAGCTTCTTCACTGCCTTACACTGGGGGCACCCCCAAAGTCTGCCTGGCTTTCATTTCTTGCTGCTGGCAGGTAAAAATCCTCCTTCAGAGGATTACACACCTCTCCAGGCTATGACTTGCATCCAGGCCACGTGGATGTGTGAGTAGAGGAAGAAAAAACAGCTGGCATTCAACAGAGTGTGTTTGCTAACCCATTCCTTGCCAGCCACAAGGTACAGCTGCTCATTTTAAGAGCATTTTCTCCAGTGTTTTCTCTCTTGTTTGTCAGGGTGTGTTCCCACATAAAAAAAAAAGGTCCTGATGTAAATAGATTTGGCCACACAAGGGATACTTAGTGCCTAGGGAGGCACTGAAGTTCCCCCTCTCTCCAACCTCATCAGCTCCCCTGTGCTACTGGGAATTGAAAGGATTCTACCTGGAGGTTGTGTCTATGAAACACCTCAACCAAACCCCCCAGCAGTGCTCAACCAGCAGCTTTGAGCCAGGAAAAGGCAATTCCCAAGCTACTGCAAAACTCTGGGACTGAATGGAACTGCAGAGGAGATGAGACACCAGTGATGCATGAGGCACACAGAGGGACAATGAGACAACTATGGGTCAGTGATGGACTCAGCTAAGAACACACACGAGAAGCAAGGCCTGTGGAAGCACAGAGTCCCTTACTTGAGGGGAGCTGCCAGGAGAGAAGCCTTGATTGGAGACAGGAGAGGTGGGAGACTGGTTGGCTGGGGATCCAGCATTACTGCGGTACTGCTGGAGTGAGGCCTACAGAACAACACAGAATTAACACCATGGCACTGAGGGAGGCTTGGAAAATCACAGACTTCTGCTGGATACAGCTCGAGGAAGCTGGGGGAAACCATCCTCTTCAGCATTCTTGGCTGTGTAGGAAGACAGATTACTGTGAATCAAGCCCCAAACTGCAGAGAGCTCAGGGCTCAGCGTGGCTGGAGCTGCCCCAGCACAGCAGCTGCTGGACAAGCACAACTGTGCAATATCTCCTCCCTGATCTCAGGGATGCTCAGTTAAAAAGGGGAAAAAAAGCAAGGATTTAGGGCAAAGAAAGCCCTATAAGTCAAAAAAACCCCTTTATATCAAAGCCTTCTAAGTAAAAAACAATGCCATTTCTTCTTCAATCCAACTGCCAAACCCACATGTGTGTGTGTGTACTGCCTGTACTCCTGTATAAGGAGTAGCATAGCTCTGTTCATTCTCCTTCCTTAGAGATGAACAGGTGCTTGAGGAAAACCTGCAATCTACTACATCTAATCAAAGGCTGTTTGATAAAGGAGCTTGAAATTTGTTTGCTTAGGAATTACTTCAGTTGCTTTAGAAGATAAGCACAACACCCTGAAGGTTAAGGTCATAAAGAGGTTTAGGATGAGGAAAGCAACACAGAAAGCAAAGGATGAAATCAGAATTGTCTGTGCTGGTACTACATGAGGATTAGAATCAGAACACTGGGACACATTTTGAGGGGGGTGGAATCCTTTCCAGTGCTGCACTGTCCTTCCCTCTGCCCCTTCCAGCCCTGCAAGGGAAGCAGCTGCTCTCCAGAAGGATTTATCAGCACAGAAAGGAAAACTCAGGAGCAAGTGCTAATCAATAACACTGAATTCTTCTCATTCTCAAACCAATTCCTGTCCCTCCATCACTGCCAGGACCCCATGGGACTCTCCATGGGGCAGGAGGAGCTGTGCCATCCCTCCCTCCCTGGCCTGGAGCCCTGAGCTGCTCTACACTGGGATTTTCAGCTGCTCAGACAGAACATTTCCTAACAGACCATGTTAAAATGAGCAAGAAAAGGGATCTGCCCATAAATCGTCCCTGCAGGGATACACTCCATGTCTTCTGGGCACTGGAGGCAGCCACAGATTCCATTTGGGATGCTAAGTTGCTCTAAAATTCCTTAAAATAAAAGGGTTCTAAATACAGAAAGTGGAGATATACCTGGTTCTGGACAACTTTGGGAAAATCAGTTTTCCAAGTGATATTTTGAGTGGGAAATGCTTGGTTAGGTTTCTGTCTCAAGGCCCTGTGAACTCCAGTCTGGAGCACGCTGTGCAATACACTATGTGTTGGGGGAACAGACTCCCTGAAAATCTCCCAAAGCACCAGCACAGCAAGGGAGGAGAGAAATACTGAGCTGCTCTAATCACACCTGGAATCAGAAGGGACAAAACTCAACGCAAATATGACCATTAGAGCCAAATTTTCCTCTAGAAAACACTTCAATGTGGATTCAACCCAAACCATTCTAAGTCTGCTGCAGACTCCACCTCAACTGATGCCACCAGAGGGTTGTCCAGCCTGATCTGAGCCTGCCCTGCATCCCCCCAGGCTCTCCCAAGGCAAGGTGGTGCCAGGCTTACCGAGTTGATGTCTATGCCCATGGAGGGTTGGCTCTGGCTCCCTGGAGGCGACTGTGGGATGGTGGAAGGTACCGTGACCGAGAGCGGAGGGAGCTGAGTGCCTCTCTGCAGCCCCGAGCTCTGCATGAGGGGGGTGTTCTGAGGCAGGGAACTGGCCACCTGGGGCTGCTGCTGCTGCTGGGAACTGCTCTGGGTGAAAAATGGGTATGGGGGAAGCTGCTGCTCCAGAGACAGTGCATCCATAGCCACGGCCTTGAAAAGAAGAAGCAGAATCATCTATGCCGGCAGGAAATTCCTTGTTGTGCTCAAGCATGTTAAGTTTTACACCAAGACAACCAAATCAGTCTCATTTGGCATCTGAAAAATGGTACCTAAAGGTTCTGGACCAGTTAACCTAGTGCAGTGGGAGGTGTCCCTGGCCCATAGACACCTAAAGATGGGCTTTAAGCTCCTTCCAACCCAAACCATTCCAGGATTCCATGATATTATGTCTCAAAGGACTTTTTATCACCTCCAGTGCACAACAAACGAACACTTTTAAAGCCCAGCTGAATGTTCAGGGCAGATATCATAACCTGCTCAGTCACAATCACATCCAGGAAATCAATTCAAAAAGTTAATTGAGTTTCTATCATGAATTAGAGAAGTGTTTTGCAAGTTTCCCAAGTAACTTTGGGTCAACACCACAACAGAAATATGTCCTAACAGATGGTTTTTACCTCAGTTCTAGGAATGAGAAAGTAAAACCTGTTCCCTCTACAGGGAATTATTAAGCCATTTTTAAGGCTCTGAATGAGGAAACACCTTTAAAGAAGGAAATTACAGAATAAGAGAGATGAAGTTCACAGAATCAGAGAACGGGTTGGGTTGGGAGATCTTGAAAGTTATGGAGATAGATGTCCAGGGACATCTTCCACCAGCCCAGGGTGCTCCAAGCCCCATCCAACCTGGCCTGGGACACT